ACAGAAATACCGAAACGCATCCATCCCACAACAATTTGTTTGCTTTAAAGAGCAAATTTCAAATAAACGCTCGAACCCCTTGTGGACAGTATGGTTCTACAGATGCAATTTTCTCCCGATTTCACCATTAAGAGATCGATAATTCACTGCCTGTTGGGTAAAACCAGAACCAGGCCCAGACCTCAGAGAGCCAGGGACTGTAGTTTCTAGACGTGCCCTGAAACACAACCCCTCTCATTTTTTTACACAGAAATAAGTACGACTTTGGTACAAACACCCCTGCTTCATGGGTGCTGTCCGTCAGCTTGAGTCACTGCAGGGAAGCAGTTATTACTGTCTGATAAGTTGAACTGAATAACAACAGAGTTGAGATTTCAAACTACTGCGAACGTTTTGTATCTGGGGAAGCAGCAATCCCTCCCGCTGAGGATTTGCCTGGGCAGGAAGCTGCCTTATTGCAGCCTCTCTTTAAAACCCAAGCAATTTCTGGTTTGGTTTGAAATCACTCGTACGTGCTTCTGACAATGCCCAGGAATTAGAAAAGCTGCCATGCTCCTCTGTTTGCGTTGTGATGGCACCGGACCGAGAGCTGTGCAGCAGATGGTACGGATGCAGTAAGAAGTCCACCCCCCATCAGCCTACCAAAAAAACAAAATACACTCATGATCGGTTCAGAATTAATGTTCTCCATTTATTGGTCGTCTAGCTGCAATAAGCATTTTCTAGGCATCACACCTGAACAGCCCTTCTGATTTCTACAGAGATCGTCTCTGATGCGTAAGGGGCAGCATGGAGAAATACATAAAAAAAAATCAGGATGGCCATATGACGGTATTTATTAAAATTCCATGCTTTTCGTTTCCTTTTCCCCCAGTGATGCAATGTTATGCGGGAAGCAGACCACCACGTGTTGAGAGAAAAAAACCCCACAAAACTAAGCCACGAGTGTAAGCCTCTAGAGCTGGAAAAAGTCTAACTGATCACCCAGTATGCTGACAGCCTACAAACCCCAAACTAGATGCAAGATCTTGGTACAAGCGCAGCCAAGTAAGAAAGCTGGTTTGCTTGATTGTTCAAAGTACGTACTGCATCTCTCCAGTGGTGCCCCCAGCTAGAGGCTAAGCAATTTCTGGCCCTATCAGTCACCACCATAGCCACATGTTTCATGTGCGGGGCAAGAAAAAACAAACAAACTATGAAAAAGAAAACTATGAAAACAGAAAAGTTAAACAGGCTGGTTTTGTGCTTGCCAGAGGCTTTTTACAGCCTGGACATTTGGCACCCGGCCCTTCGCTGCCTCTTTCATCAAGTCACTGGGCAGTAGCCATACCTGCAGCTCGTACATCCTGACAGCATCCTGCAGTAACGCTCCTTCTGAGGGAATATCTAGGTCATGTGGAACACAAACCATCTGGGAAACCCAACAGAAGTGGGTTTATATTCAAATAATTTACAAAGGGGGGAACGAACACTGCTTCCACAGCACTGATGCACGGCTAACACTTCCAGGCCTGCCCCTCACAGAACAAAGCAGCAGCACTTCCAGAGGACAAATGAGAAAAATAAAACATTATTTTGTGAAGTTTACAGATGAGTTCAGTTGTGAACCACATGTGTTACTTAGGAAGACAAAACTGAAAACACTTGAATTTGCTGGAAACAGCAAGTACCAATTATCTCCAATTGCTGCCAGCTCTTTATACTGTGGAAAGGTAAAAGGAAGAGCAGCCTGGGGGAGAAAGAAATCCTCTGGTGGGTTTAGGAAGAGTAGCTTCCTCCCAGTGTTTTGTTTGTGCAAAGAATGGCACCACATCACTGAGATCCTGCACAGTCCCAACTCTTACCTAAGTGAAAAAGGGCAGGCAGATGGTGGGCAAGAAACCTCCTCTGAAGCAATTTTCAGACAAGCACTCAAAAGGGAACTACAAAATCGACTATTGTGTCTGGGCACTAATAGCTCTGAAGCACTGCACACATCTGGCTGCCTGCAGGAGCAGGCTATCCAATTAAAAGCAAATTTAACTAAAGATTTCTCAAAATAATTAGTTCCCAAGCATGTAAGTGTGGACATTAAACACATCTCTGTTTATCTGAATCAGCTGTAGGAGGAACACCCTTATGTGCAAGTCATCTTATACTTACTAAATGGCTTTTTTGCCACTAATAACTGTCCTCTCCTTCCCTCCCAGCCCCCTTCGAAGGACACCGGTCACAAATGCCATGTAGTAGGTGCACACCGTACAGCAACCTGAAACAAAGTCCAGGCAGCTAGCACACCATACTGCAGGCTTCTTACTGGAGCTCTTGATTTCCTAGTGGGTGCTGTTAAAAGCTGGGGTAAAGCTGTGACAGAGCACAGAACAGTCAAGGAGTTGCAAGTTCCTCTGTAAAGCTTCTGTGGTAGAAAGGCATTCCAGGCAAGCTCCGAGAACACTTGCTACCAGATACTCCAGGATGTGTATTTGCTCCAGGAAGGGCTAAAGGTGGTTACAACAGGGAGAAAGGTGTGTGTTTTGTTTACTTTAATTATTTCAAGATGAAAAACAATACGTCAAATTCAACAAGTGTTTGTTGTTGATGATGTTCAGGTAAGCTGTGTGCCAACTGCAGTTACTCTTCCTATTCAGATACTCAAGACAGCCAGTTCGACACATCATTATTGGAAAAAATTATATTTTGGAAGAACTCACTACAGAAGGTGACAGAATTCCAAAAATCAAATTACATGAAAATATACATCGCAATTTTCTTTGTACATTAGGTGAGGAAAACTCTGAAGTAGAAGGCAAAGAATATGAAGGGCCACAGAAGAGAGAAGAGGGAAAAGGAGGGAAACTATTTTTGATACCAAACCCAGACATTAGTCATTTGAAAAGCCTACAGATGTGCATGCTTGAACTCAACCTCGAGGAAAAAACAAGCCTCCCCACACACACCCCACCCCACAAACAGGCAATGAAAAAGGCAAAAAAAAAAAAAAAAAAAGGAATATTCACCCATAAAAAGCAGCTCATTCCTACCTTGGACTAACTTAGTCAACTGAACTTCCAAATGAAAGCGCTCAAGTCTCTTGGAAGTTCAAAATCCAGCAGGCTGCTCAAGGGTGCTCCATGGCCAGTTTTATTGCTATACCCAATTCAAGAAGTATGTGCAATTGGGTTTAAAAAAAAAGGAGTGGGGAAAAAAGGGAAAAAAAAAAAAAAAAGCACCTTTGGGACTACAGAGGTCATCATAAAAGAAGACACAGGCAATTGATAGCAAATCCTTTTGGGAAAATTTTAAGTTCTGATGCGGGAAATAAAAGGGAGCTTTTTTCCCCAAAAACCAGAAGAGAGATACTAAACTTTAATAAGCAAGAGATTTTTAATTAAGCCTCAGTGGGTCAAAGGAAAATTAAAGTGGAGGGGAATAAAACAACAAAAAACCCCCAAAAGCCAACTTTATCCTAATCGGTTTAGTTTGACATGCTTCACAAATTGTTGTGTTGTTGTTTTTAAACTGATAAGAAACAATGAACAGGGAGAGAAAAACCTGCTAAAATCTTTAGAATTTACATTATTCTATTCCTAACTACAGACAGCATTATTTGGTACAATGTGTATTTGTGGATGTACATGAACAGTATATATATTATCCGGATCATGTTGTGCTATGTACACATCTTTACAATTCTTCCTGAAGGTTAAAGCAGTTTATTAGATTTCAAAATGCGTAATCATCTTGTGTTGGCACTTGTTAGGCTCTTGTCAGCATTGATAACTGGCATGTTTTATTGCAGCCCAGTTCCAGCCAGTGTTTGCCAACTTGTAACAACAGAAGTCCAGCAATAGGTGGGTAGAGTGCAGGAAAAAAAACAGTGCCATGTTTCTCAATTGGAGACCTACAAAGAAATCACAGCTGTTAAAACAAAATGCCTTACCATCCTCAATTACTTTAAAAAAGATTTTTTTTAAGTAGTGTTTCAAGCTCAAGGAAGGTAATGATGACTTGCTCAAGAACTTTACATACCTCTACACAGAAGACGCATAAATCCAAAATCATCACCTGAGAGAGACTCGAGTTAGTTGAGCGTACTGCATATCCGAGCTCACCTATCAGACTGGGAGGCTCCCGGGACTTGTGTCGATTGTCAAGCACGACAGCGGGTCAACGTTTGCTTATTCACACACAGGGCTAAACACTCGTAGATTCATCATTGAGGCTTCCGTGCACCACTTACAGCAAACGATGGACGCCGCTTGGGCAGCGAAGGTCGGTACAAAGCGGCACAGCCGTGCTTCGGTAAGCAGTAACACCACAGCTACCAAGTCAGGCTGTGCCTGTCTGAAACCAGCTCTATGGCCCCTTCTCATCCAATTCACTGCCCATCCCTTACTAAGGAGGGGTCACCAGGACTTAGAAAAGCTTTTGCCTTCCAAAAAAGCAACACAGCCTATTACTTCAGTATTTGTCATGAGCATTGTTTCGCTAAGGCCAAGTTTAACATGGCAACAGAGCTGAGGTTAGTTAAGGATACTCTGGAGTGTTACTCACAGCTGCTCCCTTTCTCCAACAGGGAAAAAATTGTCAGCTGCATTAACAATTCTTACATTCTAGTTACAGACAGTTGTACAAGGCATTCAGTTCCTTTGCTTAGTCTTTTGATCAATATTCAGCACTTCTCACGCTTTCCCACTGTTCAATCAAGGCATTTCTGCAGAGAAGAGATGTTGCCGTAACAGTCTCCCCCAGCCCCCGAATTCTCACAAAACTAAGAGAAAGGAAGCATCTCCTGTACAACCTTGGTGAAGAAAAATTATTAGGACTATTTAGTAAGCTGTTCTGACAGTACAACCCCTTTAAAATACATGCAGTGCTATATTTGTCCTCCCCCAAGTTCCATATGCTGAAGCTAACTAGTACACACAGGTTGGGGCTTCTCCAGACAGAGGGGTCAGAGCAGTTTGTCAAACCAACCACTAAGAAAAGGCAGCTTCAAGGTGAAGTTCTGTATTGTTTTGGAAAGTGAGAGTGGGAAATTATTAGCTAGTTGAGGAAGTTTTCCCTTGGTATATCAAGATTATAGTGACCAAAGGGCACGTATTTAAGGGCCACATTTTAACACTGAGCTTTCTACAAGAGCTTATTTTAAACCAACCAAACAAAAAACCCCAAAACAACAACACACATCACCAAAAAACCAGCCCCAAAACAGCAAGAACAAACCAATCAGCATTAAAACTAGGATGGGATTGTCCAAATTAAAAACAAGCTTCTGACTTCAGATACTTTAACAGAGTAGCATAAAGTGCAAATATCGCATCAGCTACTCTCAGGTTAAATCTTGTCCAGGCCCTCAGAGATGCTAGTGTTCAGTTTCCAGAATACAGCTGTTGCTCTGAAGCTCTCCCTAAGCCTTCCATAATAAAAAAGTTTTTTAGGCTGCTGAAGAGACCACCACCTTCCTTGATATTATTGACAGGTAATATCTGAACTTGATCCTTTTCAATATGCTATCACTTCTGAACGTTCTTAACAACCTCACTGAAGGTTGGTGCAACACACCACCAACATCTGCAAGATAAAACTCCCCAAATATATACATAAAAAACTTGAGATGGCAAGACAAGATGCTTTTAAGATTCAAACAAGTGTTCTCCACAATAATGAACACGAAAGAATGGTCAGTCCCTTGTGTTACAGCTCTAGTAGTCCCTAAGTGCTATCGATAAAGCAGGATGAATACTGATAAAGAGAATTTCAACTTTCTGAACAGCATAAATGCAAGAGTACTAGAGAAGTTCCCCAATCTTGGCAAAAGGGGCTGTTAATGCACTTGAAAACTCTTTTCAGTCTTTAGAATTGCATACAGCCAAAGAACTGAGATCATGCAACTGAGTAGAAAAGGTTTGGAGAGTTTTTGCTTTTGAGGAAAAAAAAAAATTAGTTCAGCAACACTTAATGGGAAAAACCTCAACTCACATAACTGACTTGTCTTAGAAGGATACTTACCCTGAAAAAAGTGAAGCTACTAGCTGCTGAATAAGTGTCACTCAAAAGCAGTTTCTTGGCTTTTTCTTACACAGCGGGCAACTTTTCTTTTAAATTCTCCATTTCTGTCTTCTCTCCATTCTTTCTGTAATTGAATAGACAGCTTTCAGACGTCAGTCCTATAACAATTTACGAGCTTGAAGAAGACTCTTCGTGTTTATGTTTTCAGACATTAGCCACCTAGTCAACACCTAAATTTGCTTAAAAACGAGCTAGTCACTGAAAAACCTATGACATACAGGACTTTTGAAAGCTTGTTCTGGGTTTCTGTGCAAAGCTGCTCACAAAATAGTGAGGACACAGCCTTTCCCCCTTGGATTTTAGGCATTCTCCAAGATCAACCCAGTGGGTACCAGGATTTCAGTGTCTAGGCTGAAATCTATTTACTTCAGCCTGCAAAGTAGCAGCAAACTCAAACTGCAGACCACAAGCTATTAGTGTGGGTTAGAGAAAATGCCTTCAACTACAGCGATGGGAAAAAAAAAAAAAAGGTGCACGGCTATTGTGGAGCCAGTAGTCACCCCAAGATTTTTTTTTTTAGGACAGTTTCAACTCCCTCTCAAGCTAGCCAGGACATTCCAGGATAGAAGTACAGAAGTCACAGTATTGAGAAGAGGCACAGCAGCATCCTTAGAAAGAAAACACCTTCTAGTTTGATGTGGTGCAAGATACTGGCTCCACGAGAAGGAAGTTCACAGAACATGCAGCACCCCTGTGGGGACAGCCTCTGTGACAGGGATCTGGTTTCGGAAGTGCACCGATGAAGAGCAAAGATCAAGATGAACAGGAGGATAGGCAAGAGGTAAATCCACATCCAGAGATGTGCACACCACGGTATCAAGAAAACCCACTGGAGAAAGTGCAGCCAGTTTTTAGCGCCAGCCTTATGACGAGCTCAGATGTGACTAAGGCTGCTGTGCTGTGTCCCGCCTCACAGATAGGCAAGAAGCGGTAGGAAAACATGAAGAACCCTCCACTTCATTAAATAAATTCCACAGTTCTTAATTTTTTTTATATAAGCAATATATTCTTACTGCAAGGGTGAGGGAAGGGGTAAAAATCAAACCAAAAACATCATCACACTTTTACCTGAAGCAACCTAGCAAAAACCTTTTCTCCCCCTCCTTGGAGTAAAGGCGCATCTGAGTGAGAGGGATTAGGATGTTTACCACCTCCAAGCTCATGCAGCCAGGCAGCACGCTGTAAAGCCCAGTATGTCTTGTCTTTCCAGTGAAAGCACAAATAAGGCTACTAATTAATTTGTTCTTTTTCAGTAATTAATACAGCAAGCATTTGGTTCCTTGGATTGAGACACAGGACAGCTCACACAAGATGGCTTGGGGCCAAGCAAAGCATTGAATTTGTGCACGCCCAGCTTCAGTCTTAGCTTCTGTTTCTACCTTGTACAGTTTCTGTGAAGCCAGTGTTCAGAACTGAGTAGCAGGCAAAGTTTCCAATGTGACAGCAATCTCTCCAAATCTCTTATTTCAGGTCATGAACAATTCTATTTCCTTCTCCCAATATCTAGTCAGGCTGCTGTCCTTCATTTTTTCTCCTTCTCCAAAAGAGAGTACTCCAACATGCATAGTTCATTCTTCCAGAAAGCAGGTATGTCCCCTGCTCCTGTAATACTGTGACTTGCCTGTAACGCCTGATTCTCTAGACTCTCTTAAAACTAGAAATTAAAGAAGGCAAAGTACCCTTTAGTAACTGCCAAATGCTGTTACTGCCCTAAACTTGTACTGAGTAAACCAAGTAGAAGACATCTTGATAGCAGCTCAGAATAAAGCACATGAACTGCTGATTCTTCGTATTAACTAGGACGAGTATGTCCTAGTTAATACAAACAAGATGCAATCTACAATCCAGCAGGAGATGCTAAGGTGCTCGGGCAGCACATTAAGTTTAAAGTTACTCGCAACACCTAACACCACCATTAGAAAAATAGTTTCTAGCATCCGAAGTGATTCCTCAATACTCTTTTCACAGTCAAATTTGGCTTTAAGTTTTTGTTCTTTCAAGTTGGGCTAGAAAATGCTGCGTTTCCTTAAGACTTTTTCAACCTTTACACTAAAGTTTAACAAAACAAATTCATAGTTTTCTATCTAATATCTCCCAGAGGAAAGAAAATCACTCCTGAAGTAGCTGTCAGAGAGTGAGGCATAGTACAGAAAGATTTAAAAGCTTGGGATGCTAGGAAGTTGACAAGTGGAGCTGAAAGTATAAGCTTTCTCCAGCATTAGGTAACTACATTTAACATACATGAGCTTGTAAACTGAGGAATTTTAATTGTACTTTTAGTATTTCATTAATAATGTGCTCCTTCCAGTGCTCTCAGGTTTGCCACAGAAGACATCCCTGTGCCCTGGGGATTTGCTTTCACCAGTAACACAACACAAGAAGGGCAGGTCCAACACTCAAAAGACTGTTAAATGAGGGAATATCTCACTAAAACTTTCTATGGTTTTGTTTTTCTTCCCATTAAGTTTGTTCCACATGAGACTATTCCCATGACGATTTTTCAGCAGAGCTCAAACACCTTTGGAAATACCCACAGCATCAGGAAACTACACTCCCACCTGCTTTGGGACAGTATTGGTGTCGCTGACTTGACAGAGCAAGTTAACATTCCTCTAGAAAACTTCACACCTTGTGATTACCTTCTCCTTTTTCCTCACTCTCCCAGTTAAAAGAGCTAGCACTCCTCTTTGGTGAGAGGACAATACCTGTTAGTCACTGCTGAAAAGCAATGGAAAACCAAACACTTTGGTCTGTCTCATATGAGATACTGAAGTCTGCTCACTTACTCCCTCTTCGAACTGAGAATTTTTTCCCTCCCCATCCCAAATTATTAGTCTAATTGCTATTAATGCAGCTCTCCTGGAGAGCCAAGAGCTGTGTTTATACACCCCTGCAGCACACACCATGCTCCAAAACACGACAGAACCCTCACTACAGGTTCACCCTGGTCTTTGACCAAACCAGGCCACTCTTGCTCACTCCTCAGCCAGTTGTTCCAGTCTGAGACAACACTTCCTCCAAAGCTGGAGGCCAGATGCCCAGTGAAGCTTTTAAGTACATTCTCAAAGCACAGACCTACAAAGTCAAACCTCATGCTTCCATCCATGATCCAGGAAGACTGAGGTAGAGGTGGATGGAAAAAGTCACAACATAATTAAACTGTGGGACCCACCACATTTTTCCTCCTTCCATTCCAATCAATAAACCTGTTAACAGGTTATTTGATTTCCAAACCAAAAAGTCTGGTGCATTATAGGAACCAAAAGGGTTCCAGAATACGCTAACTTCTGCAGCTCAGCACACCAATTGTAAGCACCACATGCATACAGCCTCACAGAATTTTACACGCAACTTCCTTGAAATTTTTTAAGACTGAAGGATCTGAAATCTATCCACAAACTATCTCTGTGCACAAGTTATTTGCTCTAAATAATAAACTAATCATTGCATAGGAGAAATTAAACCACTGCCTAGGAAACTTGACAGCATCTTTCCTTTGCAACCTGTTTAAAAATTTCCTAGAGCTATCTAGTAGTTCTGTTTCACATGAGTGCTTTTCCTAACAACAAGGTGGCCTTAGCCTGTCACATAAAAGGTTCTTACAAAAGTTATCGTACTGTTTGTCAAACTCAAAGCAAAACTCCATTGCAAATTTAGGTTCCTATACTGAAGACAACTGGCAGATCAAGAAAAAAAAGCAATCTTACCGCTGCATCAACATTAGCAGGAGAATCACCGTTGGGATCTGCCAGCATAGAAATAACACTAATCATTATAGTTTCCACTGTGTGAATGGGAAGCCAGCGTTCCTCAGGTTTTTCATAGCCATATTTGTCTTCCCCAGGCTCATGAAGAATTGAAATGCAGACATCGCCATTCTTGTCAACTACAAAATAGAACAAGGCATATTTCAGTAATGAACAACATGCTGGCATTTCTTCAGGAGTTACAGAACTTTGCTCCAGCTAGTCTGAGAACACGTTAGTGGAGACACTTTATACAAACCAGAAAGCAATTAACTATTACAGAACTCAGTCCGTAATAAAGGTTTGGTGGAAGTCTGTTATTACGCCTGGACTTCTGGCACACAGAGCACAGAGGGAAGAACACAATTCTAACATCATGCTGCAACTGTCAAGACTATTTAGACAGACTTCCACTAAAACTTTTTCTGTTAAGTTCAGCAAACTAGACTGTGGTTTGGTTTCCCCCCCCCCCCCCCACAGCCACAGCATCAGCTGGATGTTTCTGCAATATATTGGATTAAGCTGCTGGAGTTAGAAACTGCCTGACAAGTACTCTGGTGTTTTCAGAGCTGAAAGGGACACAGCATCAAAATATCCCCTCTGTCCCTTCTGATGGAAACACTGTGCTCGTCTCCTCCCAACTTCCGACATTTAAAGCTTCAGTAAAGACTTGAGAAACTGAAGAGCATTCCTCTTTCTCAGAAAAAAACCTCCTTCAATTGTATTTTTACCTTCCCATTTATGTCTGGCAGCCCATAAGTAAATGAAACATTAGGAGGAGTCTTCTTTGGAGGGACTAAAAGATGCTCTGATTTCCTTTCATTCCTCACAAGGGGACAACCTTGAGCCTTCTAGATTCAACTGCCTAGTTAATAATGCTAAAATGAAGTATTTGAAGGTATAAAAAAAAGCAGCTATAGAAGTCAAGTTTCTCTTCAGAATTTCACACTTTGGGAGGAAAAAAAAAATCCCTGAAGTTACCAAGAACTCAAGAAGCTACTTTCAGTAGCTTCTGAAAATACTTCAGGATTAGTCTCTCAGAGCAGCACTATAAAAATTCTGCCATGATTATTACTTCTTTATGAAATGAAGATAGCAAAATAAACGCAGAATTTCTTATTTCTAACAAGAACAGAAATGCATTCATCTTCACTGTATTTCAGTTCTTAATTGCAAAAAGAAAATGAAATTTTGTCATTTCTTACCATTTGGATGCCAGATTTCTGTGATGAATTTCATTTTTGGCGGCCTCAGTGGGTAGTCTTTTGGAAAAGTAAGATGAGCCTTGAAAACACCACCTTCACTGGGGAATCAAAAATATCTTAGTAGAGTTTCTTGCAAGTGTAAACTGAAGATTGGAACTTACCAATGTATCTAAAGCTCCAAGTTTACCCTTCGCACAGCTTAACATCACGTTGCTAATTAACAGTAAGAACACTTCCAGATCGAGAAGATCCTTTTACAAGATACTGCCAGGTTCCTAACACTGTATTTTATTTTTTTTTAGAATTAGGATGATGCTTCAGAGGGGAAAACACATCTACCACCCAAAAAACAAAAGAAAACCCCCTAACAAAACAGCAACAACAACAAAATCTGCCAAGGAATTTACTATCTAGAATTACTACTTATTTTGTTCCTCCCAGTACATTTACTAACAGAAAAAAAGTCTTGCCGGTAACTTCACTTCTCAAGTACAGCTTAGCAGATCCCTGATCATTTTCCTCCTCTAGACATCTCCATCCTAATTTCTTGGTATCAGTGTGCAGCAGTGAGCCTCAGTGAAAAGTTACAGAAAGCTTTATAGTTTTATTTACTTCGTAACAAGGATTCCAATACTACCTTCACAATGCTAAGCTAAAGGGACTCAGGTTTGACAGTGACGTATTCTGCACTACAGTTACCCACCAAACTGACAAACAATAAGAAACAAGAGACACCCAGTTTTTACGTGGAGTTACAGGCCCATATTTAACCAGGGTACCAGGTCACTGGTTTTGTTTGGGATTTTTTAAATAGCTCCATTTCACTACCCAGGAATAGTCCCTTCTGCAAAGGCCTATAATAATTGGAAAGCCTCACAGATGGAATACTTGACTAATGCAAGTAACATTTGCCCTGTCACTTGTCATTTCTTGTAATTGAAGTTAGTAACAAAATTTGAAATTGCAAAGGCAGAGATTACAAAAACTGGAACATAACCTCAAAAAAAAGGTGGCACAAGAGGTGCGCTGTGACAAGCTGCTACTCAGTAGTTGTGGTGTCAAAAGACTTGGCATAAGAGAGACAAAGGTGTTCAGTACAATCTTTTTTCCCCCTTATTTGTAAAGGAGTAGGAGCCAGTATCCAAAGCCCACAGGCTACTGAGGAAGTAAACTGTAGCACCGCTAACTAAAGATGTGCAATTCTAGCAAGTGTCTCAAAAAACCCCACCCCAGCCCCAAAAAGCACTAAATCCAAGTGACTTGGCTCTGAACGGCATCTGACTCCCACAGCAGTCACTTACCACAAGCCTTACAAAAGGCAAGCAGTTTCTAAAGATTCCTTGATCCTGGAAAGGGTAAGAATTCCACAAACACTGGCTATTTTAACATCCCTACTAGCCAAGCCAAAAGGAGGGTTAGATTACATTTGCTGATAGCCTGAAACCAGTTAAATCCTCTCTCTCAAAGTGAAAAGTTCTTCTTTCCCTTTTTATAGGAGCAGATTCTAAAGCTACCAAGCTGTACAGCATCCCCACTTGGCCCTCATCAACTACACAGAAATACAACTCTAATTGGATACACATTAGAAATCAGTTAATGAAGTGCCGCTGTCAATTAAGGGAGATCAGTGCCATTTTTAGCAATATTCCTGATAAAGGTGTCTCTGGCAGTAGTCACGTACCAAGTCTAAAAGTCTTTTTAGGTAAACTCTTTACTTATTAAGTGGGACCAGTGATGAGACTAAAGTTGGAAAATTCTGAACCACCTGGTTAAGTTAAACTATCGTGTTCCAATGTCATCATAAAACAGATCAGGTCAGTATAATACTACGTCGTAAAGCAGCAACTAGGCACTGGAAAGGAAGACAGCTTCTTAACTAAAGTCTCAAAATAAGCTGAGCGCTTCAGTGAAGTGCGGAAACATGCTGTTGCAATTTTAACATATAAGAGGTTCAATTAGAAGCAGCATTTCTTTACAGACACCATTTAGAAAGTGGCAATGAGAATATAATGGAGCCACTACAAGACTGTTCAAAAGAGGTCAACAGAAGTTGGAGAATTTACCTCATGCAAGACTCAAGCATCACAATGTGTGCTTGAGGAGAAGCAAAGCAATTTAATTACTGTGCTTAAGCACACACTGCAGAGAGAGGTATATAAAAACTTCATGTTGGAACTAAAACTGACCTCAAGTAAATGTCACTGGGCTTTTTGTATTCGTAATTTACCACTAACAGAGTTCATCTGCAAGAGCTACACTTTAAACTGACCTCTTCTGGGCATAGAGCCTTTTCTCAGGACCTACAGTAGATGATCATATATAATCTCTCTGAGAAAGAGAAATTATTCTTACAGTTAGCCAGAGCTTTTTTAAAAAAAAACAAAACACAAACATACACACAACAAAAAAAACAAAAACAACAACGCACACAAACACAAAAACCCACACACTGCATGTACCAGAGTGCTCCAGGTATATAGACAGCAAACTTGAAAGTCTAGGACAAGACGTTATTGCATGAACTGCCCAGTTTTGTGTTCAAATGTCAACTAAAGAACCCCATCCTCAGGGTAAAAATATAAACTGTTTGAAGCTCACGGGGCAACAATTGCCAGCAATTCAAATTTGATCAGCGCTGAAGTAACTCTAGGTCACATCAGTCAGTTTGAGTTTGGAGGACTTCCAGGACTTGAGGCCAATTCTACGGTCTGCTGCAGTTTCCCCAACTACATCCCTCTTGAATATTTTCCTACAGTCACCAGGATGAAATCGTAACGGTTTAAAATTGTACTATCAGTTAAACTAGAGCCTCATGGCCATAAAGGCAAATAGTGGATTATACCTGCCTTACAGAGTCCGCTTCTCTTTTCTTATGCATTAAAGTATAGCATATTCTTTCTCATTTCTACTCAAGTACAAAGGGATCAGTGTTGCATTTACCCAGGGGAGCAAAACAGTTTAGAGCTTCTGTATAGCAAATTCTGCTATTTACAGACATTTTACTAGTAACAGAGCAGTATTACCTAACTTAAACCAAACTAGAACTAGTAAATTCAAGTTCACTCAAGTTTCTGTATAAGTATCAGTACTTACTATAGTGTATCTGGAGGACCGATAATAAGGACTTCCCATCGATAAAGATCATTGTCATCTATTAAGCCCGCTGAAAAGCCTTCCACTGGATTTTTGTTGAGCTCTGTGCAGGAAAAAGAATTTAAGAGTGACTTTAGGTGTCTACAATAAGCATTTGCTGGTTCTTCTCAGGCCTCTATACATGACCCAAAAAGCCCAAACCCCACAACTTTCAGTCACTGATGGACTTAGGGCCTGGGCGAACACCCTCAGCCCCGTCACACACAACCACAGGCTGGCAGAGCCCAGACCCACAGTCTGACTCTAAAACTAACCAAGTACATCACGAGCAGGAGGGTCAAACAACTCACAACTATGCGACGCAGTCTTCTAAACTAATTACCAATAGGTAGCAAGTGGAAGACAGAAAACAGGTTTTCTACTAATAAAACACGCCCCGAAACATATTGCTTTATAAGAACCCTCAGGAGCCAAGTTAGCTCTAGAAAATGTGAACAGAAGTACGAAGTTACACTGTTTTTATTTAAGACTAACATCCAACTTCCCTTAAATGATTTTTTTCAGAATCTGAAAGCATTTGAGGCCTGTGCTCCGTGCATTCTGGACATGAAGATTTACTACATTCTGAACTACTAGAAGAGAGCACAGAAGATAAGCTGTTATGCTGTTAAGGTTTGGTTGGGGGTTTTGTGTTGTGGTTGGTTTTTTTCCTTACTTTTTCTCTTGTTTCAGTTTTATCCACTGGTGATAATCAATACAAGACTTCAAGCTTACAGGCTACTTCATACAGTTACTGCCAGCTAGAAGGCTTATCTGGAAATAGCTATGCAAAAGTCAGTCCTAGATGTAGACTCCACTAAGTTTCTGGTTTCAGCCTGCTCGAGGAAAAAGCCTAAAAATTCAGAAATAAAAACCTCAGATGAGTTCTGCCTGGGGGAGAATTCAACTGGTGGGAGGAGGGGGAAGAATACATCTCACCCAACAGCTTGGTTCAAAAGCTAATTTAAAAGCCATATTGACGCCAAATTGAAATTCTTGATCCAGCATTTCCAACAGTACACACAAAGTCTTGATGGATCCTGGGTATTTAGGACAGGGGAAGGGGAGAAACAGTTATTCCTTCAACTAGCCAGTCATTTCCAGATTAAATTGGTTTTACAACTACTACTGCACTTAGTTTAAACCCCATCAGACATTATATATAGCCCTCACTGTTACATTCCACAGTACAGTTACTGGACATATGCCCTCTTTATAAGCTCAATAACTATTTTTGTGTTGATTTTGAGGCATTACAGACTGAAGGTCAGGGGTCCTTATAATGCTCTCCGGTACCTGCAGAGGAACTTCAATTAAGAACCTCAGACCTTTATGGAGAAAAGGCTTCCATTAAGTCCAAACTGATTTGCCCATAAGCTTGCAGTCACCATTTTCCAGTTAAGTTCTTAACTATTTAAAGCATGGTTTAAAAAAGAAAAGCAGAATCAATCCAAGCCCTACACAGAAGAGTTTAAGTCCACACAGGGACAAGGCAGCACACAGTTCACATGAAGGACCAAGGTCCTGAAGAGGTAGGTAACAGGAATACCAGCTTTGGTAATTCAGTCAGATTTATCCACAGAGATGACTCAATGCGAAAACCCCAAGAAATGTATTGGAAGGGCTTTTCTTAGAAGCTTCTCAGCAGGAGTTTAGACAACACATGAGGTAAACCGTTCACTCCCCAAGTTGTAGGACAAATACCTAGCTATTGAAGCAAATCATGTTTTTTTCAAGACAATGCCTGAAACAAAAGGTAGTATCATAGGCTGTTTAGCCAAGATGCAAGCTAACCCAAAAACTCCATCGTGCCATGCCTCCACCAGAGCAGTTTTCACCCTCTAGAATCTATGAAATTTTGTGGAAATAGCTGCATGAGCCTAAGTTCTATTTAATTTTAGGTGAAAGGGGCAGAGACAAGTGTCTCACATGAAGCAAGGACTTCACCAGTCCCTTACTATCTCCCTACTACAGACACTCCCCCAGCATCAGGTATTAAAAGTTCCACCACATTAGTAGTTGAACATAACCTGCTTTTTCAGGCAGGGTTTTATAAAAATAAAATTATCTATTGATTGTGCAAAGAAAAAAAAAAGCCACTTCTGTTCAGGACATTTAACTCATCTTTTTGAATATTGTATTAGTATTGTAACACAGAGCATTCGGCACAACAGCTACAAAGTTAAAGAAAAGAGTGCAAATATTAGATTTTAATATCTCACCTGAAAACTTTCAAACTTGGATTTAAGCCTCCAGAACACAAGTTATGCCATTTCTGCACTCCCACAGGGCAAAAAGGGTTTATGCCATGTTCTGTGTCAGAACTGCTCTAACTCAAGCTGCTCACATTTAGCTTTCTTAGTGCTTGCCAGGTATCACTTCTCCATGGTAAGGCTGTAAACAAGCCTACTGGAAGTTAAGCCTCTTGATAAATTCAGCATGCTTGTCTATCTAAATATACCACATTATTTGCACCTAACATATAGATCCTCCTATTTCTTGATTCATGCAATTTAAATTTCATTTTATATCTGTCTTAGCCTCAGAATAACTTTTTTTAGCCTCAAGCCCTTTGAAATATTTTTCATGTACCTGTTCCCAATCAGAGCCAGCTCTTACACTCTGACTTAGACCTAAGACCTTGCAGCACTACATTGCAGAGATCTTGTGAGAAGGAGTAAGATTGCGAGATTCCAACTCTTTAAGGCAGAAAACCTGTAAAGTGTATGAAAGGGACAGCCATTGACAAAAGTCTCCAGCTACAGCAGTTACAGAAATTTGCTTAGTACATGTTGCCTATGATTTTGATGATTACTCCTTTTACATTTACATTTTGATGTTACTCCTTTTATAGGAGATGACAATCTCTGCCTGTAAAAGGTTCTCATTGTCCTTCCATGGCAGCAATACTGAAGCATAGTTCAACTGGCTATTGCTTGCAGAAATGCTTTAACTTGAGGTAAAACAACGGATCTAGGTAAGACACCTTCTCCACTAGAGGTACAAGAATTACCATAGCCAAGTTAAAATTAGCATAAATAATCTGGATGGAAAAGCTCAACTGAACATCAATGGCTGGTTGGCAAACAAAAAAGGAAATCTCAGGAAAGTTTTGCACTGCAATCACAGAATGGTTCAGGTTGGAAGGGACCTTGAAGATCACCTAATTCCAACCCCTTTCTGTGGGCAGGGACACCTCTCTCCTAGTAGTCCTGGTTACTCAAAGCCCCATCCAACCTGGCCTTGAAGATGAAAAACACCATCCTTGACTGTTTTACATACAGATAGCTATGAGTTGCTACTCATTAAAACTTGCAAATACTGAAGCCTAGGGTTTGACTGGATTTTATTACCCTGGATATAGGCAGTGTTGCACATCAGAACAGTTCATTAGTAGCACCACCTAGCTCTTCATGAGTTGAGACTCACACAGCAGTGAAACCCACACACCAACCTCCCAAGTGAAGAGTGGTGGGAAGGGAGGAGCACACACACTCACTCGCACACCCCCAGCGTGTGCAGCCTGCTGCCTGGCAGAGGGACTGCTGCCCGCCAACCCCAGCCTCTGGTGACACTGACCCGGCACTCAAGAAAATGAGACACCTGTTCTCTGCATCTGTCATTTCCTACCAACGCCAGCAGTTAACTGCTTGCAGCCTCAACAGTCCTCCTGGACGAACACAGGGATGATGAATATGCTTCACTGAGCAAAGCATTTGACTCCCTCCTCCAGGCAGGGGGAAAAAGGTCTTGCGGCAAGTCCTCTACAAAACCCTGTTGAAGAACTAGCCTACAAATCCTAGAAAAAACAGCTAAGTCTGACAACTAGAGAACTAGGTCCCTCCACACTATAAACACCTGAATTTTGTTTGAGAATCCTTGTTTAGCTACAGACACACTGTACTTACTGAATATAGATGCATTTCCATCATGTCTGTACCTAAGTAAGTGCCATTTACTTGCTACTACTGTATGTTATATTCTATGGTTTAATGTTTCTGCCACTATTTTCCCCATTTCCTGATACTTTAACCAGAGAAAAAAACAAAAATTCTGACATTCAGTCTAGAAGCAGTTTCAGGTAGTCTTTCGCAGCTCAGGCAGCAGCTGACAGTCAAAGCAGCTGCCAGGCAGGAACACACTGAGAACAGAATTCTGTGGCACTTATAAATTAGCTATTCAGTTCCTTTAACCCCAATCCTGAACAAACACCTGATTTGGGAGGTGAAGATGACTAAAGGCCCACAATCCAACAGAGTTGTTTAAGGCCAGACCAGGCTTTCCTGCCCAATGCCTGCTCTCTCACATGATCCGACAACACCACGCAGTGCTCCTTGACTGGTTTAGCTCTTACTAAAGCAGAACTAAGTTACTGTTGCCTGACTCTTGAGCCAACACAATACCATAAACTGTGCTTCCAGTTTCTGTGTTTAGTTTTAACCAAGCTACTGATGTTCCCACACTCAAACTGCCTTTGTATAAACCAAGGGACTTTCACCAATCCAAAAGCAAACCAGCATCAACAGAAATGACTAAGCAGAAAGAGCCCCATGGCCACACGGAACAGCTATGTACGGCATCTCGGCTTTTCAGCTGGATGTCTCGCCCAGCCAGCCACTGTTTATGAACTCTTTGGAGTACTTTATGCTACATGACAGTACAAAGCTTTCAAAAATACAAGCTTCTACATTCTTTTTAATAGCAGCTGCTGTAGTAAATTACACAGTGGCTGAGTTTTGTGCAGTCAGTGGAACGAGCCCAGCACAAAACCTGAGACTGGACAGTGTGAAGTCCTAGCTAAGGCTTCTGGAGAAGTCACCTACCTGATTTACACAGTTCCCAGAACAAGCGGGCCATATGACAGCTGTACATTTGCTATATGTTACGCTTGGTTTTTCTCAGTTGCTTTTTGGGAGTCTCAGCACTAGTCCAGGAGCTTCTAACAAGTATATAGACTGAAAGTCCTTGATCTAGACTCTTCATCTTCACAGCCCAGGCTATGACTTCCATAGAGTGACATTACTTAACCAAAGTTAGTTATGATTTCCAAGACTTTCCTTTCTG